TGCATGTAAGCTATTACATTGAGTATATACATGTACATGTAACTGCAAACAGTGCATTAGGAGGCTAACTGAATTACATGTACATATACTTACAGCAAAGGTCCAGACTGCCATGTAACGCCACAATGCCAGCTTTCCTGAATTATAAAAAATAATAATAATCAATATTGTTAGTTTGTTACATTATCTTACCAGTTATTATCATTATGAGAAGCTTAGACAGCAAGCTCCTTGCCTATATAATGAAGCACAACAATACTAACAATCACTCAAATAGTAACCAAATCATACAAACACGTACACATGTACATACAAGAGCATAAGAAGAGCCTTCTTCAGTGATATAATCAAGCCAAGCCTATGGTTTTTGAATTCTAAGCCACTTTAAAAACTGACTTAACTCAACTTCCTACACCACATAAAATTAAAAGGTAAGAAAAATGAAGAATTCCTATACTATAGATTATTACCAGAAACTATGGTCTTTGGCCAAATTTTTAAGCAAATAAATTTCTCTGCCCTAATTCTTCGTAAATGGACAGGAAAAATTGCTTCTGCTGATTTTATTTTTGTGACTGCACTTTGGCCAAGTTGGCCTGGCTAGTAAATTTTTTAGAGTTGAAATTTCACAAAATTCTCAAAATTAGCAGAAATTTTGGGCCAATTTTTTTCAGCTAGAACGAATATACTTGTTGCTCAAAAAGGACACTAGGCAACAGTGTAATGCCTTATCAATTGGCTATACCTAAGGCCTTTTCACACTGGCCAAAGTAATGTGTATTAATCGTGTTCACACTAGAGTGGTTTTTAATTGATGCGCATCAATGCACATCACTCTTACTTCACCTCCAGAGGTGGATTGATGTGAAGTGATGCACTTCGATCAATGTAAACCAATGGCAACTAGTGTAGTGCAATAAGTGCATACATTATTATTATTACCTGATACTCTTCTGATAATATTCCACTCAATGGAAAATATTTATTAAACTGTGAATAGATAACAGCTGTCAGTATACCAAGAAGTAGACGCTGTAGACCAGGCAAGAGACTACAAATACACATATACGGGTGTACAATAAACAGAGAACAGTTCAGGCCTTACCTTGATGGAGTAGTTTTATAATCAAATAATATACTTGATATGAAATGCTTGTATCTTATATAGCTTATCTGGAAAAGGGGGGAGGGCAAGAAGAGAGTGAGAGACAGGGTCAAGTTACTCAAGTACAATGTACATATTATACATGTACATGTACTTATTACAGTAACAATAAGGAATTAAAATCATGCATGGATTAGTTTAATCAGTAAAATTTAATTAGTGAGACATTTGGATAATGATAAGTGCAAGTACTTACTGCATAGCTGGAAATAGTTTCTAAATTTTCCAAGTGGCAGAGTTTTATATTGGTGATTATCGTATACTAACTAGAAAATTTGTTAAACTAAAATTTTGCAAATTGAGGTTCTTTTGTCAAAACTTTAGTCTCCAATTTGATAGGGTTCCATAAAAGCATGGACAGGGTTAAAATTTCACCAAAATTTTAACCTCCAAACCTCTTTTAGAGTCAATTTACTAATTCTAACGCTACAAATTTTCCAGCTATACGGTATATGCCACTGATGATTGATCATGCTCAAAATTACAGGTTTTATATGGCAGTTGCTCACTGACAG